AAAAAAAAATTTCCCAAACTTTTATGGCATTTAACTCTGGTTTATTAATCTCTGTAGACCTCTTATATGAGTGTTTTATTTGGAAAAGATTTTAGAAAAATTCTGAATGAAAGGATAAGTGGACTATGCTTGTATACCAGCTGTGATTTTGGAGAAATGATTATTCGTTTTCAGATATAAGATGGAGACAATAATATTTATTTACTCATCTAGGTTGCAGAGGAAGATGAATGATTTGACACATGAAAACACTAAGTCATTCTCCTTAAAAATAACTTTCGTCACCATTATTCATTTTATGTTATAGTTTCATTATTTTATTATAGACTATCTCAAAGTCAATGATAAATTAACCGTAATATTGGGCGCCTGGGTGGCTCAGTCGGTTAAGCGACTGCCTTCGGCTCAGGTCATGATCCCAGCGTCCTGGGATCGAGTCCCACATCGGGCTCCCTGCTCTGCGGGGAGCCTGCTTCTCCCTCTCCCACTCCCCCTGCTTGTGTTCCCTCTCTCGCTGTGTCTCTCTGTCAAATAAATAATAAAAATAAAATCTTTAAAAAAAAAAAATTAACCGTACTATTTGACTCACTTTTCCCCACCTTGCGTTTCTTCAGAAGAGCTCTGCTCCAAGAGAATGTTTTCTTCACAAGTAGACATTTGCTGATCATGGTCCCAGTTTGGGTATTTTAGTGGAAACACTCAGATGTGGAGTCCAAATATGTAGAGTGTAAGGCAGTCTTTGTTGCTTAACTAGCAGAGCTATGCTAATCTGGCTTTAAACCCTGGATTCTGAGTAGGCTTTCCAGAGATCAACCATTATTCTTGGATGTTTCCCTAACCATGTGTGTTTTTGGTATCACTTTCTTTCTCTTGAGTCAGCTTGTTTGCATCTTCTCCCAAAGTTAATTCCACATTGATTACTCAAGCTCTCTAATCTGCTTTTTATGTTTATATAGGGAATGACTTTATGTTTCAGCTCAGGTCTTATTATGCTACAGTAAGAAAAAAAAAAGGACAATAGAATTGTTGGTTTCTTTGGCAATTATCATATGATGTTATTCATAGTGGAATTTAAGAAACAAAACGGATGAACATAGGGGAAGGGAAAGAAAAATAAGATGAAAACAGAGAGGGGGCAAACCATAAAAGACTCTTAACTATAGAGAACAAACTGAGGGTTGCTGGAGGGAAGGAGAGGGGGGGAATGTGCTAAATGGATGATGGGCATTAAGGAGGGCACTTGCCGTAATGAGCACTGGGTGTTATATGTAACTTATATGTAAGTGGTGAATCACTGAATTCCACTCCTGAAACCAATACTGATTTCTTTTTATTTGGAATGCCATTGCATCCATGCTGTATGGAGTCACTTAGGGAAATGTGCCTTTTAAATTAATTTATCTGTGAATCATCTTCGAAACTGCTTGTTTAAAGACAGATCAAATGTTTTATTCATTCATTCATCAAATATTTATCATGTATCTGCTCTGTGATAGTTACTGTGCTTAGGTGATGCGTCCAGCAGGGACCGAATCAGAGTCTGCTCTTGTGAACACTGTTCAGTGGGAGACTCAAAACCCTAAAACTACTCTGTTTATAACAGTGTAACTAACAGAAGAGCAAGCCCTAGAATCTGATGTAAATGCTTCTTCTCTTTTATTTTTCAGAGGGCTTTGGAAATAGCTATCTTTATTTATTGTAAAGAAATCTGGATCCAAATGAATCTAAAGAAACCTCCAACCATTCGACCTCCCAAAAAATTTTTATTGCAAATGCTCAGTTTTTTTCCTTGGTAGTTTTGATAACTGTAGAAGTTAAAGAGCATCCAGTCTAATCTCCTAATTAAAAATAGACAGACAAACGAACACAAATATAGACAAGAAAGCTGATGCCCACAGAGGCTTAAGTGAGTTTTGGAAGATTACATAATTCAGTAGCTGAGCTGGGACTATCCCCAGTTTTGTTGATTCCAACCACACTAACTCTTAATCATTGATGTTCAACTTTAGCTGAGTCCACCTGAGTAAGGAAGGAATGAATTCAGTTGTACTGGTTAATACAACCAGACCATTTCTCTCCCTCAGTATAGCTCAACGAGGGGTGTGCTTTAGGCAAATGTATTTTCCATTTTTTCCCTTGCTGTGTCTAGAAGACTGCATGGGATATGCCTTAACATCTTTTGCTTCTGTAGGCTCCCTGTGGAACATGGGACTTGAACTCACGACCCTGAGATCAAGAGTCACATACTCTACTGACTGAGCCAGCCAGGCACCCCATAACATCTTTTGCTTCTTATATAAGACAGATCATTCCTGACAAATTTTGAGATATCTCTATCTCTGCATCTCTACCTATCTGAAATCTCTGAAGAGTAGGGTCATTTAAATCAAACTATTATTAAGGCTGCATCTCACAATCTAACACTTCCATTGGATGTTGATGGGAGATTAGTAATGCATAGGGTGTATTGAACATTCAGTGCTTTCTTATCCC